CCCCAAAACCCCAAAACCCCAAAACCCCAAAACCCCAAAACCCCAAATTTCAGAATTATTTGTTAATCTTAATTCTAATAAAAGGTAATTTAAAATGGCTTGAAGTAGACCTGGTAGGACTAAGCGAATATGTAGAAGGGATTAAAAGAATAAATGTCCTAATAACAAAGAGAGCTTACAAAACCTCAAATAAGACCATACCTTTCTATTCATGTACTTTAGTAATCTTAAAATTATTGTCAACATCTGATCAATAGCTATTTCATGATTTGTGTCCCTTAAAAGAATGCTCGGATTTTAGTAATATTTTAATCTCAACTTAGAATAAACTCAATAAATAAGATGGGAAACACTTTATGATGCACGAGTAGACAGAAATCAAAAAATGATAACTCTCCATTGAACGGAGATTATGCAGAGTAGGGATTCTTCCTGTCTTACACTGTACATAGGATTTTATCCTCAGATTTGTGCTTAAACCAAGATCCTGACTGACCCTTCGAGGGTACGAACAATGAGCTGATAGAGGCTTATCAAGCTAGAAAACATGAAAATGGTATACTTTAAACCGAAATTTTACTAACTTATTTATTACTTTATACTATCACTATAGAATCGTCAAATTGGAATAAATTTTGGTCCAAATTCAGGTAAGTGTCTGCTCTTTGACAAAAAAGAAGAAGCACCGATGATCTAAAAGAGAATGTGGAGGGTAGAGCCCAACAGGACGATGATGAACATAAGGTAAGATCGTTCCTCCGTATCATATGACTCAAATTGGTAGCCAACAGCAGTTTAGTTTCCTCTGACTGTTTGTTCTAATATTTCTCAGGTACAATTTTAGGCATGAATTCCTAAAATTTCTTTTAAATTTAGGCTGTTTTCAGCAATTTTTATGCAGAATTATCCAAAATCTTTCTCCTGATCCTCGTGCACTCCTCCTCTAACCTACCTTGAGCTTATAAGGCTGGGGTATCTTAAGGTCTCTAAGCTGTTGATTACCTTGATTGATGACCAGCTTCTGAATTTTTAGGAGTAGAGTTTTATATAAAATCTTAGAACGCGGTTTGAAGCAAAAGATGCTTATGAGAGGGAAAATATTTTTAGAGTAGGTACTCGCCCTAACAACTCCACTTCTCCCAAAACCTCCCTTAAAACCCTCAAACCGTCCAGTTAAACCACCCTAAATCCCCCTTTAATTCCCTCTCTTCCTAAATTTGCCACTCAGACATTTCCTTTAGGACCAAGACCCTGACGCTCACTTGCCAGGAATAGCCAAGTTCTTGCCCAAGATCAGGAAGATGAGCTTCGGTGTATGGGACGATGAGGAAGAGAAAGACCAAGAGAAGGAAATTGAGAAGGATAAGGTAAGGGAGAAGAGGGAGAGTCTGGGGTATAGGGAGAGAGAAATGTGCCGATGAGGAAGACGAAGAAGAGAATGAAGACGGTGAGTTTGAGGTATTTTGGGGAGACAAGTAAGGATTTGGGTCATTTTAGTGAAAAATACATCAAATACGCCAGAGAAACAGCAGAATAAGGAGTAAGTTGTAGTTTTATGGTTTAGTGGGGTTTTTGGGAAGTATGTTATGCGGAATATGCCTGAGAGTCCACCTGAGAAGAGAAAGAAGAGTATGATAGAAAGAAAGAAACCAGTCAAAAAGAATGGATCTTCTTTTTCCTTAATAACTCTTGAGAAAGCACAAGAATCTTCAGTTGATTTTAACACCATCACTGATGGAGATCATCATCGTGACTTTGATGACAAGGGTGAAGCTTCCCCAATTTCCGGACAAGTAATGGAGCAATATCTCAACAAATATGAGCTTACAGTTGAATATCAGAGGTAAGATTCAGCCTTAAATTCCTTAAAATTTTATTAGTAACCTCTTGTTGTAGCAATTTAATCCTTAAATTACTGAGGAATTTCTCCAAAGACTCATGTGAATGGAATCAAATCACTAAAACAAGGAATTATTCGATCTATACCACTGATTCAGGGTCAATTCTAGCCCCTGAAACATTATGCTATAAAGCTAAGATATATTTTGGCAGCTCATATTCATTCGAGGAGGTCACTAAATGCTTGACAGACCCTGATATTCAGACAGTATGGGATAAGAGTGTTGATACAATAGAAGGTATGCTAGAATTTGCATTTTTAGACTTTTTTATCTTGTATTATTTCCTAAATTTTGCTATTTGTGGGATGATAAAAATTCATAATCAATACTTTCTCAACTTTAGTATTGGCCTACAGCTTTTATAACCCTAAACCATACAGAGATCAAAAGAATCACTTCAGATACTAGACTGATCAGCACAGTGCACAGATTATCCCAGAGTTCAATCAGTACCTCTCTTGTCGAGCATGATTCTAATGATAAGACATTTATGATTGATTGGGATTCGTCTAATTCGAAGAAATTCATAATCTATACTTCCTCTGTACCAGAGCATCTCTGGCCAGAGACAACTAGGCCTAAATTGGTCAATATCTTCAAGTAAGTCCCTAGTCTCAGCCTCTATAGACTAATGGTGATTGCTGAGGGTTCACGAGCAGCCTCCGAGTCTGAAGAACTTGGGGAGTATTCAAAGCACGAAGGTCTCCGAGACTACAATTCATCTAAAAAGAAAACTAGGATTGTTATATACCAACAAATTGACTATCCTGGGCACACACAGGAGGACTACATAGATGGAATCCATAAGATGCACAAGAATTTAGGTATTTTAGTCAGTTTAATACTGTAGAAAACTATCTGAATGTCCAGAATCAAGCTAAAAACTCCAAATTTTAAGCAATAAATTGGTAAGCCATCAACCCTCTTTATGATGTAAAAATTTTTGGCATAAAAATTCATGAAGGTTTAGGCAAATTTATAAAGGCATGCATGCCTCTTTTGGAACTAAATCATCAGAATTGGTATTCCTCATAGTTCATTATAGAATATAGATTACGAAGTATTCTCCATCTGAAGGAAGAAGGATGGTGATTAATTGAGCATCACAAATGTATGCTCTCTTATTAGATTAATAGTAAAGCCCAGCACAGATGAATATCAAGCCCAGGTTATCTACAAGTCTTAGAAGCAATACGCTATTCCTCTTCAGCAATCAGGAGGTTACTTCGTATCCTAATTCTCACTTATGATGATTAGTTTCCATATTCAATTTCGATTAAAAAAATTGGGGTTTTGGGGTTTTGGGGTTTTGGGGTTTTGGGGTTTTGGGGTTTTGGGG